GGCGCCCGGCCCGCCCCGGGGATAATTATTGCCCACTTAACGAAATGAATATTTTAGGATGCGCAGTTTGTCACGCCGCTGTCAGTAGCGCCAGCTGCAACGTGTGGAGAATGCGGTATGGACTGGCGCCCGTATCGTGTCGTGCGGCGAGTCGATTCCTCATTTTCATCAACTTTCGGTGGCGAGGCCAGGCGAGGCGGCGAGGCGGCCACGCCAAACAATAACAGGAGGGGAACCAACAAGAAGGGGGCGGCTGCGTTCTCCGCCGAGAGAGAAAGAGTCTAGCGAGGGGTGCATTGCTGGGCTGGCTGCTCGGTCTGGCCGGTCCAAGGCGACGCACTTCCCGGAAGGCGGGAAGGCCGGGGTGTCAAAGTTTCCTCGCAGCGAGTCGAGGTGTTCGCGCAGGTGACAGCCGAAAACTTGGCATGCACGTGGAATGCGCCACGTGGTACTTCCCCCTCCCCTCCCCGACAAGGCTGGCTCCGTGCTTAATACGGAGTCTCATTAAACTTGAATTCAATTTGCCTGTGTGCAGTCGCCCTCGCCCACCCCCTCGCCGGCTCCGGGCCGGTGCGCACCGCCGGGCCGCCAGCCCAGCGCCAGCCCTTGGCCGAGCCAAGTGGTACCTGGGGCGGCCGGGGGGCCGGCAGGGCGGCAGGGCGGCAGGGCCGGGGCGACGCCGAATTAAGATTTAAGAAGCATCGCAGGCGGGGCGGGGCGGGGCGCGGCGCCTGCCGAGCTTATTAATGAAACTACGGCGGGGCCAATACTGCGACGCGGCGAGGCGCGGCGAGGCGAGCGCGCCGCCGGTTCCATTTTGTCTGGAGTGTTGGGTAAACACAATACAGCCCGACGCCGCAGGATGGAAGCAGAGAAAAAATAGAAAAAGAAATGATGGCGCGCTGCTATCACTCCTCTCCCACGGTCACGCCGTCACGCCGCCGACGGGGCGCTGGCAGGGCAGGCAGTGGCGGCAGGGACAGGGGAGGGACACAGCGCACTGTCACCGCGCCGCCGCGGTAGGCAACCCGCGCGCACACCTGCCTGCCGGCGGAGCGGCGGCCTACCTGCGCGTCGACGGGCGCGACAGCTGCCACCGCGCCACTCTCTTTCCGTCCCGCGTCTCCCATTTTTGCGCACCACTTTGACGCGTGCCTGGAGGAAGGGGCGGGGGAAGGGGGGGAGGAGGAGCAGACGCCCGCGGCACTGCCAATTCCAAACGTGGAAATATCGCGGACAAGAAGTGCTGACAGTCGAGGTGGCGTGCGAACACCCCGACGCGCGCTCTGCGTCTGTGCCGCGCGTGGCGTGCGTGCCGCGTGCGTAGAGAGACACGAGGCGGTTCCGCACCGCGCGCTGCGCCCCGACCGCCCACCCACAACGCCATACGTGAGTAGTGTCCATGAATTTTTAATATCGATGCCGGCCGCGGTTGAGTGGAACGGCCGGCCGCGCTCCCTGCCACCCTCCCTCGGGCCTCACACACAGAGACACACAGACAGACAGACAGACAGACAGACAGACAGACAGACAGACAGACAGACAGACAGACAGACAGTGGAGCCGGCCTTCGGCCAGCCAAAGCCGCTTCACCGGCCCATTCCATATCGAGATGAAATTACTTGTCTGCCAACAAGATGAAAATGCCTCTCCCCCTCTCTCTCTCCCGCTCCCCCGCCCCCTGGTGGCGGTGGGCCGTGGCCGGCCGTGCCAATCCACGGTCTTTGCGCACCACCAAGCGACGCGTTCTATTGCTTCGGCCACGTGTGAAATTAGCCGCGGTCCGCGAGGGGCAGCCGGCCGGCGGGGCGGGGCGGGGTGTGGTGGGGCCACTTTGGCTTCGACTTCGGCCCCGCCCCGCCACACATCGCCAAACCGGGTGGCCAATTTCACAAAACAACGGAACGCCTTTTCATACCGCGCGCGCCATTGCCATTGTCGGTGCAGGCGCCCCGCCCTGCCCCGCCCTGCCCCGCCGGCCGAGCCAGAACCAGGGACAGTAATAACCCCAGGGACGCATTCGAAAGGAACGGAGAACGCAACACGATAAAAAGAGAACGCGCACTAACGCGCGCATTTGTCAAGGATTTTCGCAATTTTCGCGTACCGCCGCGCTCCGTTTGCGGCGCTGCCGGGCGCTGCCGGTGGAGGGCGTGGCGCGGCGTGGCGGTGGAGGGGGAAGGGGAGCGGCCCACCAGGCCCACCTGCAGGCATACGTCCGCGCCGCGGGTAGCGAAGCAGCGAAGCCAAGGGGGAGCGAGGGGAGGACGGTTTGGAAGGAGGTCGCTCTGCTTTTCAAAAGGCACAATTAGCCCGATGCATGTATTTACAGAGCCTACGACGGGTGGGGGGTCCCCCGATAATGCGAGCATTGTCTCCGACGGGATGCATCCAAGCGAAGCGGGGCGGGGCGGGGCGGGCGGGCGGGGCGGGGCGGGGCGGGGCGGGGCGGGCTGCTGAAGGGTTGCAGCGAGGGAGCGGGCGCGGCCGGAGCCGGAGGAGGGGAACGGGGCAAAATGGAATAAATGCACTTCACGCTGTCAATGAAATCCGATCCGATACAAAATATGTGTGCAGTGGCGCGCTGGCAGTACAGGCAGCAGGACCGGTACGCTGGCACAGCGCGGCACAGCGCGGCCGAGGTTTTGACACCCCGCCGGTGCAAAACATCCCCCCCCCTCGGGTCGGAGGAGTTAATGTTAATGCAAAGTGCACACACAACGTGCGTACGCACGCACACATGGGTACATTCTGGGCCAAAACATCGACACACATCGACGAAGGCAAGGCAAGCCACAGTCGAATACTGCTACATGCAACGAAACACAAAGCGGAAAAGGAAACCGTTGAGACGGGTAGTTTGAAAAACCACCCGACTGGCCTGCAGTCTGTAAAGTTGGTTTCCATTCCGCACGTGTATCTGCAGCCATCCATTTTTCTCCGGCGGCAAGCACACGGGCTTAATCGGGTGAACCCCTCCCTCTCCCCTTTCGACTGGACGCACGCAGATTTTAAAACAACGCTTCACGGCGCGCCGTGCTGCGCCGTGCATGCAGCGAGCAAAAAGCTCCACTCTGCCGGCAACATCCGGTCCGTTTGGTCGAAAACGCACGCATCGCGGATAATCAAAAATCAATATGAAGGCACGCGGGGCGCGGCGGCAGCGCGGCCCTTTTTTACTCCCATCAGCACGCAGGCCTGCCGTTCTGTCTCTCTCGCACCCCTACGGGACGCCGCGTGAGTGTGACAGAGACAGAGCGACTCTTCGATGCTTCAGCCCGCTGCTCGGCCTATGGCACCCCATCTGCCTACCGGTGTGGGTCTCCCCCCGAACGCGCTTTTTTTTCGGTATGATTAACGTGCTTTGAACGTAATCTTGTTGCAAACGGGGGAAAGGCGGGAGGGGGTGGAAAATAAAAACACTAGCCGGCTTTTCCCTTTGCCCAGCCTGCCTCGGCCTCTCTCTAATTTAGGGGCTCCGAGTGCTTATTTCGCCGCACGGATTGGATCGGCATGTTTAATTCCCGTCCCCGTCCATCAATACCCCTCCCCCCTCTCTCTCTCTCCCTCCCTCTCTCTCTCTCTCCCTCTCTCTCTCTCTCTCTCTCTCTCTCTCTCCTCTCTCTCTCTCTCCTCCCTCTCTCTCTCTCTCTCTCTCCCTCTCTCTCTCTCTCTCTCTCTCTCTCTCTCTCTCTCTCTCTCCCGCCGTCGGCCGCAGAGAGCGCCACAGCCACATGTCGCTGCGGCCAACGACTCTTCCTTCGTCATCACGGCAAGTTGATGGCACTTTTTACGCCTCGACGACGAACCGAGATCGAGATGGACGACGTGTCGTCTTGCAGGGCCTGCAGGGCCTGCAGGGGGCGGGGCTCAGACAATCGATTCGGCCGTCTCTGTCGCACTCACGAGAGAGACAGAGCAATGAAACGACTCTTGAGGAGTGCGCCTCGCACTGTATTGGGAGCCACGAGGGCCAGGGCGCCGCGCGCGAGAGAGAGATAGAGGCCGACACAAAGGCCGCGGCCGGATGGAGGGCGAGGCCTGCGAGGCCGCCGAGGCCCAGAGCGACTTGTTCTTTCAACTCTCGAATGACTGACACCCACGTCCGGTTGACAGCCGTTTGCCGGCGCGGCCAGGCCGAGGCCGCCGAGGCCAGGGCGCCCGCTCGCGCTGGCAATCCCCCCGAGATGGGAAAACTTTATATCGTGTATAAAAACGGGGCGTCCTGATGAAACGCCGTGCTGATTTCCTTGTCGAGAGAAATGACGCAGTGGCGGAAACAGACTGAGAAACCACTCCCTCCTCGTCCGCGTCGGCACCCTCGTCCCGGAACGCGCACGCGCAGGCGAAGGCCTTTGCCGAAGGCCGTCCCGCCACGCCACCAGGAAATTCGCTGCGGGCGACGCGACGCGACGCCTCCAGCCGAGTCCCGACAGTGTCTCGGCACGCCACCTAATTTCGGCCGGGGGTGAAGTGCGCCAATCCCTCGCCGCCATCGGCAGCGACGCGGTAACTTAAAATAATGGACAATTTGTGTAAAACGGGGGGAAATAAAAATGGGGACCTAACTGCTCGGGCAATGTTAACAATTACGGTGTTTTCGTTGTTTTTTTCTGGTCTGGTTTCTCCCGCGGGCTGCGCGGGCGTTCGTTGCCCTCTGCGAAAGGAGAGCGTGCCCGCGACTCGCACCTGGCCGCGTTCCGCGCAGGGTAGCGGGGCGGGGCGGGGCGGGGCCCTTTGGGGGTCTAAATGAAGGCTGCATGACCAAGTGCGCCGCCGGGGCCCCATGAACAGCTGTCCCCCTCCCAGGGGCTGCCCTGCCCTCGGCCCCGCCCCGCCGGCCCGGCCGGGGACACGGGGAAAGGGAATTGAAGATTAATCCGGGCCCCAGGGTTGGGGGCGGGCCGGCGGGGCGGCCATGGCGGCGCGCCGGCGGCTACCTGCAAATACCACGACGTCCGCGACGACGGCGACGTCAGCGCGGCGGGCAAAAATGTTACCTGGTCTGGTGGCTGTTCCCCCTGCGGCTGGGCAGCGGGGGCGGCGGCCCGTTGACGTGCGGCTGCTGGTACTCGGTCTGGTACTCGTTGGCGTAGTCGCCGCCCGCGTAGTCCGCCGCGTAGTCGCCGCCGTAGTCGCCGGGGGTGTAGTCATTGCTGCGGCCGGCGCGCGACGGCGGCGTGTACTCCTGCGAGTACTCGTGCGCGTACTCCTGCTGCAGCTGCTGCAGCTGCTGCTGCTGGCGGTAGCCGCTGCCGCCGCCCGTCGTGGGCAGGGCGTACTCGTGCATGGTGGCGAGCCTCTACCGGCCGCTGCTCCTAAATGTCGCCGTCATGCTGCTGCACTGCCGCGCCTGGAGGACCTGCAGGGCGAGATGCGGCGTCAGGGCGGCGTCTTCTCCTTCAGTGGTGCTTGACGCTGTGCTTGTCGTGCTGTGCGAGGTCGGTCTGTCATCTTCGGAGCGCCGGCTCGGGCGGAAGTTCATCACCAAAATTCTAAGCGTTTTCCAGCTCAGTTCTAAAGGTTGGTACTACGCGACGCATTTTCTCTGCAGTCAGAAACTTTGCGCTTTTTGGCGCTGGCACGCCGGCCACGGGGGCCAACGAGCGACGGCGGCCGACGGCCATCCCCGTTCCCCTTTCACCGAAACGAGAGTTCGCTCCGCAGTCCGGAGATACGGTAACGGCGGCAGTGGCGGCAGTGCTGTCCGGCGCTGTACTTTGATGCCGCAGTGCCTGGCACCGCTGTGCCGTGCCCCTGGATGGCAGCGTCGCGGCCGTTGCGAGGCGGCGGCACGGCGGGCACGGCGCGGGCGACGCGGACAGCGGGGGCGGCGGGGACCAGGTGCCGTCCAGGTCATCGAATGGCCTCGCGTCGCCCCTCTCGCCGCTCTCGGGGTCCTCGACCCGGAGTCCCTCCCTCGCCACTCAACAATCCCCCACAATGTGCCGTGCCCGCCGTGCCCCACCGGCCCGACCAGGCAGGCCCTACACGGCAGCGGCACTCGACCTAGGCCGCTAGGCCGCAAGGCCCCGCCAGGCCCGCTAGGCCCGACATCGGCCCACAAATCCCACGCATTTGGGGAGAGCAGGAGGCTCTCGAGGCCCCTCCGCCACCTTCCACAAATGCGTCGCCTTCACTCAAATCTCAGTGGCTTGGGCCAAGACGACGGAGGGTTGAGTGGCGTGGTGGGGGCGGGGGTGGGGGTGGGGGAGGGAAACCTGCTGGCCACGCAATGCTTCAAAGCCTCTTGGACCAACTCCAGGGCAGATGGTCCAGCCTGACGACTTCGCTATATACCGGCCTGGAGTGTTGGTGGGAGAAGCGGCCAGACAACAAAAACGAAAAAGAGAAAGAGAGAAATAAAAAGAAGAAGGGGAGGAGAGAAGAAAGGGGGCCCAGTGCGGTATTCGAACGCGGAGGCCGCCGCCAACAGCGTTCCCACGCGTTGCCTGACCGTGCCTGGCCGTGCAGGTCGGACGAGGCAGCCATCGCCATCACGCACTTCCGCCACCGCATCTCCGCACCTGCTTCTGAGGCTTTGCTCTCCCGCTTTCTTTTCCCGCATTTGTTCGCTTCATAATTGACGACGTGTGCCGCGTTGACAATCCAAACGGGGGAATGAGAGTGTCCATTATTCAGGGAGCGATGCTGCTGCCAAGCTTTATCTGACCGCGGCGCGCGCGCTGACGGTGTAGTGCGCCCCGGTCAGCATCGGCCGCCAGTCAGCCTCTCTCTCTCTCTCTCTCTCTCTCTCTCTCTCTCTCTCTCTCTCTCTCTCTCTCTCTCTCTCTCTCTCTCTCTCTCTCTCTCTCTCTCCCTCGCGGGGCCCTCTGACCCTCCCAGACTGCGCCGCGTCAAGTATGCATGCCCTCCCCCTAGAAGCAGGCCGTCGAGCATTACGGCCTGAACGGAGGCCGGGGCGGGGCGGGGCGGGGCGGGGTGCGGCGGCCGGGGCGTTCCGGCGTTCCGCAGGTAAGGGCGGCAGTATAACCTCCCTCCCCTCTCGGCCCTCTTTTTTTCCGCCCCGAGTCCAGGAACAAGGCAGTAGGGCCAGGCGGGCGGGGGCGGGGAGGGAGCGGGCAACACGACCCTTCCCTGGGGCCCTGTAAGAGTGTGTCCACTACCACCACCTGGCCGGCCTGCCCGGCCTGCCGCGATCCCCCTCGCCCACATCGACGGCATTAGCGTTAACACCGCTCCTGATGAGGCCGAGGCCGGTAGGCCCACGGTGTTGACAGTGCTTGCGGCAGTGCGGCAACGCCGGGCTAATGAAGACAGCCCAGGAACGACGCGACCCCCGAGGTACAGGCCGCGCCGACACTGCGGGGAGGCACCTCGCCGTCGACGCGCGTCCTCGCGACCTCGCGAACGCCACGCCTCGGGGACGGCCATTCGTCGCGGCGGTCGTTGCGCGAATATGTTGCACCCCATTATGGGCGTGGCACGCCGTGGCGGCAGTTGGCAGCGCCGTTTGCGGTGGCGGCGCGGGGAGGGTGGCGGCCCTGGCGGCCCTGGCGGCGGCGGTAGTCCCCGAGTCGAAGCCCGACCTGCTCCACTCCACACTTTGCACGCACTCAGTCGCCGCTCCACTCCAGCGCTCCTTGCAGAGCAGCGCCGCGATTTAACGCCCGGCAGCCCGTGAAATCATCAGAGCAGAGCGGCGGCCGGAGGCGGCGGCGGGGGTGTATCACTCGCGAAAAACAGCTCGGCTGCAGGTAGAACGCGCGTGTCGCTTTACTGGCATTTCCGGGCCGTGCCGAGCGGGGTCGTCTTCGCCCAAACTGCCGCGCAGGCCTCGGCGCTGCTGGCGCTGCTGGCGCGCTCTGGCGGACGGATGCGAAAGGCCCAAGGACGCGGCACTACGCGGCGCTGGGCCCCGCGAGGCCGCGAGGCATGAAGGGCGAAGGCAGTTTCCCCGCCAAGCACGAAGCGGGGGGAGGCGCGCGCATAAAAAGGAAAAAAAAACCGCCGAGAAACGCGAAAGAAAGAATCTTTTACATGTCTATAACGGAAACACGCGCCTTGCCTTGCCCCCGGGAATTTCCATCATATAGGCGGATCAAGGATGCGGGGCAGATCGGCAGATCGCCCGGCCCTTTCCAGCAGTGTAATGCGGTCGCGAGCGATGTGTCCTTTTTCGATCGCTTGGACGAAGATGAATACTCGTATTATCCCCCGGCGCTCCACCCTCCTCTCTCACACACAGACGCGCACGCACGCACACAAACGCACGGCGCGCCGCAGTCGTGTCTTCGCCCCGCTACACCCCATGCACCTTGGCCGCCGCGGCCACCGCCCCTCGCGGTATCGATTACGCATTAGAAGTGTGCCTTCGACACGCGGATCCACCGACAATGCCCTTATCTACCCCCACCACCGCGCAGGAAATGCATTTTTCAAACTTTTTTTTCGACTTTTTATTTTTTTGCTTTGGCCGGAATTTGTACGCAGGATGGCCTCTGCACCTGGCAGCGCCAAGGTGCGACTACGCGATGGGGGCGTGCCGGGGTGGGGCGGGGTGTGGCGGGGCGGGGCGGGGTGGCGGGGCGGGGCGGGGCGCGGCGCATCGTTGCCAACCTCCCCAAACCAGTTTTCCCACGCCCTGGCTGCGCGGAGCTGCGCGGCGCGGCGGAGGCTTAGGGGTTAGGGCGCGGGGGTAAAACTTTAGTCATTCTGAAGAACTGCGCTGCCAAAGTTGGCGGAGGTGTGAGAATCACGCCGAAAACACGGCGCCTCGCCCGGCCCCGCCCCGCTGGCGGGCTGGCGGGTTCGCGCGCCGGGTCAGCAGCATATCAACGTCGCCATGAATTTTTAAACCCGACACACGACACACGCGCTGGGCCGCGCGGCGCCCGGCCGCGCCAGCGACGAGGAGCGGACGAAAAGGAAAACCTCGCCTCTCACGAAATGCTGCTCCATGCCAGGAGAAAAAAACCCGAAAAAAAGCGAAAAAATAAAATATTTTTTTGCAGTTGTTTGATCAGCAGCAGCGCATCGGCCCCACTCTAATCACAACGCCCCTCGCTGCGTCGCAACGCTGCAGTGCGTTGCAGCGCGTTGCAGTGCGGCCTCCACAGAGATTCCATCAAATTAATTAAAGCCGAGAGTAATAGGCGAAAGGGGCGGCGGGGCAGTGCAGCGACGGCCTCAAAGTTGGCAACACGGATCATCGACGTGCTGCAAGCCGGCCCGGCAGGCCCGGCCTTCCCCCTCGGCCTCTTTGGGCCGACTGGCCGACATCAAAGCCCGGACAACAAGCGCACGTCCACAACGCGTCCGTCTAGTCCGCCTCCAAAGGCCGTGAGGCCGTGCTGCAGCCTCCACAGTGCCGCCTCTCTCAATACAAGGGGGCGCGAGAGAGACAGAGCGACCGCTCGGAATGAGCCAGCAGTGCCGCCCGGCCCTGCCGCCCTGCCCTCACCAATTTAGCCGGCCGGCCATAAGTCACAACAAGCGCAGCGTCCCAGCGAGCGGCCCGACACTAACCGTAAAATGTGGAATAGACCGCCTGGATGGCCTTTCCAATCACCAACTTCAACTTGACTTCCTCCAAATGAAGTAATTGTCGGCGCCATCGTGACACGGCCGCGCCTCCCCCGCATCGTTAGCGACAGCCACGCCGGCCACCGCGGCGCCCACATGTGTCCCTGATGGCCTCACGCAAACCACACTGTGCAGCCACACTGCCAGAAAGAGGGGCAGCTTCGCCGGCTTGGTGGCGCTGCAGCGGTCCAGTGACGGGGTCCGGCGGGGCCCCAGCCCGGGAACCCTGCGCCTGGAGGGCCAGACGCTAATCAGCCTGGGAGGAGCCACCCGATACTGTGGCTGCATCCCACGGGATGCGGCGGCCTCGCTAGCCTCGCCAGCCTCGCTGTGCAGCATAACGACCTGGGCTGGGCTGTCCGCGCCTGCAGCCACCACCGTCGGACCGAACGGAAATCACCAAGGGGCGCGCTACCATCGGGAAAAACAGCGCGCTGCACCACCACAGCATCGTGGCCGGAGCAAGGCTGGCGTTCGATCCGATAGAGGCAACCCTTCCGGGCGCGCAGACACACAGACGGTCAGATGGCCTCCCTCAAGAGGGGTCGGACGGCGGCGGCGGGGCGGGGCGGGGGCGGCGATAGCACAAAGATATGTAATCCGAGAAGGTGAGGAAGAAGACAACGATAGACACGGGCAGCAAGAGGGAGAGAGAGAGAGGACAGGGATAAGAACGGGAGAGCAGCGCCAGCCAGCAGCCGCAAAGATAAGGGGTGTGTGTGTGTGTGTGAGTGCGTGTGTGGAGCAAGCACGGAGGGCGATCAAATATTATACCTTGAGCTTAGTTTTTGCCCGTCTCATCCCCAGCCCCCCCTA